ACAGTTCTGATATCGTAAGCTGTTCATCCCATTTGACTATAAAGCGGACTTAATTGGCCCAAAAAGAGTTTAGTACAACCCTTCTTGCCACGTATTGTTACTGTGTGGAAGACACTCCTGTTCACCCTCACCCTCATAATTCGCTGAATTTATAACCTATTTTGCCCCTTTCCTCTTTGATACTATTCCTCACTACTAAAAGTCTACAGACAATGCGCACTTACTCATGGTGCCTGCTGTCGGTCATTATCCACGTACTCGGCGTAGCGTTAATGTCGTTTGCTGTATTAGTCACTTAGTATCTTGTCACTTTGCAGCTCACGTCCTCGGGGGGATGAGCATGTTGCAGTGCCAGATCACTCCAAATTCGAGGATTGATCATGTTACGAAATCTCACTTCTTGCAAGGCTTGCTTCGATGACGACAGTTTATAATATTTAATGCAAGTTGGCCTAATTTTGTCAATACGGGGAGTACCAACTTCCCGAAAAGTCCTGTCAATTTTGTGTGTGCAGCAGCAGAGGTGTTTGTGCAGTTTTGATAAACACATCATCGGCGGCGGCGGCGGCGGTGGCGGCGCTCGTACCTCACACATTGCCTCCAGAGAAGTGAATCATCGACTCTCCGGTACCCGCTAGATGGCACAACTCTTGTGCACAGTTTCGGAGTTGACGATTTGCGGCAACTAGACTGGGCTGCTTGTCACTCTGTAAAGAGCGATTGCTGTCTTATTGAGCGGAGGCACTTCTGATCTGCGCGATTGTGCATCCCAAAATCATGGTCATTTCGATTAAGGACCTAAAAATGGTGTTAATAATAATAATAGACGCAAAATTATATTAGGTGCTTATCCGGAATACTGATCAACAGCGCTAGTTGCATATTGAGTTTAATGGCACGTCACTTTCGTTGGTCTCTGCAATATGCACTGGTGTCATCAGCAATTTTCAATTGGCAGATATTGTATTTTCAGGGTCATGCGAGTTTTTTGTATCTGAAATCCAGCCCTGTTCGGTAATATCCCCAAGCGGCCACTGGCGACCTCCACTGAATGAACAGTGCATGTTCGACCGGATGGTTAAAAACGTAATCTTCATCATCCTTATTGCATCTCATCACATTATGACTCATCTAGTGTTTAAAACTGTGCTTTTCAAAATGCAAAAAAACAGGTATATACCATCTAACATCCAGATCCCCATATCATAGTTACGACAAGGTCAGTGTACTTAAGTTATTTTTCAAATACCCTCCTCACAATTCCCTTTTTATAGCCCACATTTGTTTAAATTGAGAAGAATCTTGTATGCGAAAAAAACAAGTGTTGGATTCTTACACTCTTATGTACGAAACCTACTACCTCAGTATTGTGGACACCGTTCACCGGAATCGCAGAGTTCCGTTCCTGACTTGTTTTTTAAAACACAAGAATTGGTGACTCGATTCACTAGCATCAGATCTCAATTAACTTGAAATTACTGCCTCACTTGTTAACTGCCGAGCTATGAAATCACGTAAGTCGGATAAGAACAGGAATTTTAATCCGCCGGTCCTGATTGCATCAATCACCAAATTAAATGGATGCCACCTGCCGCGGCGTCCTTGCCTTTGCTGGCAATTGCGAAGTTTGCTTATTGAACACATCCTCCTGTGAAGTTCTGCCCTAATCCCGCTCTTCGTTTTGATGCCGCGTTTCTGTTGAAACAATCGTGCCTGTCACAAAGCCGGCGTATTGAGTCGGAGTTCCGTGCGTGTGGAATCTTGTTTTTAAAGATCCAGATGTTTTGCTTTCTGCCTTAATGCGTAGACACCCAAATGGGGCCAAGTGCCCCTGTTTTCCAGAAACCAAGGTTTAATTGTCCCCAGAATTTGGCTCATCGCCCCGAAACCTGGGTTATTTGAAATAATTCCGTCTGGTCTACGAGTGTACACTTGCTTTTATGTACACTAGGTCGTGTTGTCCTATATTTCACCCGACTGAGTGGCATTATTTAGCGGAATCGAGGAGTGTTGGTATGGCAGCGGGTGATGCGAAGCTTCGTGCACACCTAAGGGTACAGATTTTTTGCTTTTCGCCTCGTTAAAAGACGCTTTGAATGACCGAAATGATTGCCGAACCAAGTGGAAAATAGTTCTCTTCCGCCTCTGGTACTTTGTTTGATTTTAGTAAAATTCCATTTGATTGAGTTTTTTAATTTAGGAATCATTTCAATGCATTAATTTCTCGCAGATCTTCCCTGCCTTCTGGATCGAGTAGTTGTGCATAAGGAGTCATAAATTCTGTGGGACATTTGAACTAGTGCACCTGTGTCGTGTGCCTATCTGACTGTGCGTCTTTCCGTTAGACAGGTACACTGAACCCTAAGCGTATTTATTTGTCTTGGAGCGCAGTCACTTCGTATTACTGGGGAGCCTTGGCTAACCTCGACTTCTTCGCCAATTCAGTCTTTAATCCATATTCATCAATGAGTATTTTAGAAGGTTTCAGAAGGACCAGTAAAACCATCAATCTGTAGCTCCCTAATTGTTACGTCAAATGACCATATAAGGACACCAGAATCTGTTGATTTTTGTCTAAAGTCATTACCGCATGCTCAATATAAGGTTGTATTATGGCTTTGATATTTGTGCGCTCCTTGCGACATCATAAAAGATGCACTGATTACGAATCCGTCTTTTTCGAACGATCATCTACCAATTCTAGCTCAAGAATGTAAGATTATATTGGTTAGCTGGGCATAAGTTCTGGCGTCGCCCTGCTGGTTTCCACTGTTTATTTTCGACTAGTTTGATGTGCATCTCTCTTTTTTGCTCCGATTTGCTTCATCCCCTTAGAAATTATGTTCCATCCAATTGGGACAAATTATCACCCCAAAATTTCTGATCCTATCATCAACAACGTTGTGCGTAAACAGAATAATCGATTTTGACAATGGCGTGATGGCCTTAAAGTAATGTATTCATTAACTTTGTTTTAAGTGTTACCATTGAAAAGCATTCTATCAATTGCATTTCTTAATGTCAATTGACTGACCTAGCATGTTTGTGAACCATGAACATTGAGTAACATTATGAAATTTGTTTCAGGTTGCGGACTTGCAATTTATTTTTGAATGCTCGATAGAGGGTTGGGGCAAGAGAGTATTCCCAAGTAGTACCTTCCATACAATGTTGTTTAATGCTTTTTTAACGCTGACAGAAATGCTTTCTTCCTTTTTTTTCAATTCACTTGTGACCTTTGTTGGTGGATTCTGTACTAAACTTACGTTTCTTATTTGCCTAAACACTTGTGCCCAAGAACGTAAGAAAAAATAATACTTGATGGCTTGTTTTTAAAGCACATCACCTAGTTTAATGCTTTCCGCTTCCTATTCACAGGAAAAGCGAAATGAATTATTTGACTTTTAAAAAAAATTGGATGTGACTATCGGGGAAACGCGAAGTTTTAAAATACCTTCTCTGATAGTAATGATCAAGGTCAAGCTTTAAGTCAAGTATTTTTGATGGAGATAGAGAGACTAGAACCGCGACGCGTCAGAGAATTCTACAGACTGTGCTTTGGTTAAATCAAACAACATTTCGTGGTAGTCGAGTCAGATTTAAAATAGATGATTAACCCCAGAACACATTGTCTACGAATTTCTAACACTCCCAAGAAAAATTTGAGGGCTGCTTGATTATTTTTGCCGCTAAAATCTGTACATTCGACCCGATGCAAACTTTCATTTCCAGACAAATGCTTCCGATATTTCCCAAATGGTTTTTTACCTAAGCTCAAAATCTTTTTCAGTTTGGCAAAATTTATTTGCTGTAGTTTTGTGCTAATCGATTTCGTGAAATCCTTTAATCTCCCTGTCGCATACATCATCTTCCCCTACCGCATTTGGCTTTTGCCAAACGCTAATCTTCTCCTTAAGTGATTTCAGTAGCCATTTCCAAGCTCTGTTTATGGTACCAGTGCAGCGAATGCGTGGCACTTTACCAAAACCCATCAACTAATAATGCTCGCCCGCTTATGTGCCACCGCGACGGCGGACAACAGTCTTTTTCCCCTTGCTGGTCAACGCATCACTGCCGCTGGGATACACACATTTCTCCACTCGCACACACACACACAAACACATTTCCGTAAAGTGGGTTAGATTTCATCAAGGTAAACGGGTTTGCGTATCATGTGGTTGCGAAGCCATATGACTCAGCATAAGTAGTCGTGATCGCGGCCACCGAGTTTGTGTTGCGTGTGACTTTCAGCAAAAATAATCTGACTTGAGTGGTGAGGTCGGCTAGTCGCGGCTCGATAAGTGGTTCTTATTGCCATTTTAGCCTTGATAATTGTACTTGCTAAATTAATGTAATTTGCCTTTTATTTTCTCCAAAGTTACCGTGGATTTTGGCTGACTACACATCGAAACAGTTGAACTTCGATGATCCTGCTACTTTTCGTGATCTCTCTCGGCCCATTGGTATCGTTAATCCTGAAAACATCATCTCAGTGCGCGAAAAGCAAGTTGTTCATTATAGTTTGAGCTAGGATTTTTAACTAAGTACGAATATGATTCGTGAAAATTCACCTCTTCACACATTTTTTCACAGTTTAGTGTTTAAAATGTCATCCACATTAATAGTGAAGTGATTACATTAGTTTGTATAATTGCTTGTTGGCTTTTTTTGTTACCGAGCTTCTTGTAGCAATCGAGGCTGTTACGTTTCACGCTAACAGGCTTTTAGCAAAATGGAAAAGTGTCGGCTATATCGTGAATCTCACGAATCTTGGTAGTCAGAATTCTCAGATCAACTCGGAGTGTGTTTTGGGGGGATATTTGTGCTAGGAAATAGCTCAAATCATTGGTATTAAGGCACAGAACACATTGGACTCGAATGGAAGATTATAATTGAGACGTGTCTAGACATTTTCAAGCGTTTGTCTAAGGCTCCTGCTCCCAGCATTGTTGCGCAGGGATATTAAATTTTTACACCTGACTGGTTATTCAAAGCAACTCCCATTTCTTAATTTTGCTCCTACAAACTTAATGCTTCTCACTTCATTAGTGGACATCTTCAGATCACCTTCCAAAATTACTCAAATGTTCTAGTTTCTTTTTCGATTTCAAACCGCGAATCCTCGACAGCACATCGGAACCTAAAATTTGCACATTCGCTCGATGGGTCCAGAAATGCCAATTTGTATCTACACGCAACTGATCACAATGCTAACCCACCGTGCTGGGTAAAAAAAGTACATTCGTATAGTTCTGAGCATGCACTCGGTAGATAAATTGGCGCTAGTAGTCCGCAAATTGACCAAATGGTTGCTTTTTAAGTGCCTTCGTTTCGCGTTTGTGTGTGCACTACTCACATGTAAATGTAACTTCGGGACGAGGAAGTTGAACGTTGCGTCTTGTCTGAAGGTATGAATCGTTTGAGGACCCGAGCGGTGTGATTTCCAAGTTCCATTATGGAACACACTACTCGAGCGCGGCGGGGGTCATGCACTACCTCGTTCGGACAGAACCCTTCACTAGCCTCCACATCCAATTGCAAGGTCAACGGTGAGTCTTGGTCAATAATTGATTTAGTTGTTATCGAATTTGGTAGGCTGTAAACGGCGGCACGTTAAAAGGATGGGATGTCACTAAATGACCACTCATTTCTTTAAACTGCCTTTTTCTTAAGTGGGAAATTGTGAAGTGACAGGCCATTTTAAACGCAAATTGTGTATGGACAAGGTTGGTAGTAACAGATCTCACAACCAGTTGGTGAATTTAAACATTCCCAACTCGCAATAGTACTCGTGAATATGAATTTCTAATAAAATTATTGTTGAAGAATTCAGTAACTTGTTTTTTTACTTTCTTGAATTGTGACTTCACAATCCCCAAAACCTCTGTTTTGATATTGATATTTCTGTAGTTTGGAATTTTCCTTATTATCAGGAGTAACTCCTTAACTTGTGGCTGACAGTCCTTATCACGGAAGACACGCTGCATCTCTTACTGCAGTGTATTTATGCAGGATAACGCATTATTTTCACATGTGCAGGACTGTCGAAGCTTCAGTTGCAGAACGCAAACATGTGTGGTTCATCAGCCTTAGTGCTTATTCAATGTAGTAAACCTGTGTGATACTTTAACGTGCATGTCCATTTGACGATTGATTCGGTATGTTTTTGACAAATGCAAACCGTTTGTTTCAACTAAAGAACCAAGGAGTCATTTAAAAAATTTTGCAGAAGTACTGGCTGTTTCACTCTTTATCTTCCACAGTAATTGACATCTAAATTGACATTTCGTAGGAAGAATAGTGTACATTTGGCTTACCTCGTTGTTTAAGTTGAGCGGGTGTGTTTGTAATGAACCATCTGGAGATGAAACGGAATGTGCATGTCAATGTGTTTTAAAGGTTTTAGCTTATGGTGCTGCAGTGTTCATCGTAAATTTAACATCCCTGAAATGAGGCTGGGAAACGATACCGCGGGATTCCAGTTTGATAGATGCCTTTAGCGGTTTTAATTGCGTGGTGCAATGCAAAAGTAATCTCGACCGTGACACGTAGAACTATTAAAAACTGACAGGTTTATTCCATAAATTACTGTGTACAAAAAAGTCGCTGTTATATTTAACAAATCATTCAAATTTATTTTCTTGGGGGCTAATTTTATCAACTTGCTTTTTATGCAATTTGCACCAATTAGGCGATTGCCCCATGTAATTAAACGAAATCATCCCTACACATTATTAGGCCCCCTTAGGCGTTAACTGGCTTCGTAATGCTACAATTCGGAGGTGTTTTTAACGTTTTGATTAAATCACAAATTACTAATCACTAATTTCATTATGACTAACATGAAATAATGAGGGTAGTTTTTAAATGAATGTTTTTTTAAAACGGCTACTGAATATACATAATTTGGACCACTGAAAAGTCAGATATCTGTACTGGTTATAACACCAATAATTCTACAAGTTTCCCATTTGCACTAAATATGCCTATGTCATTATTTATTAACCTTGTTACATTTCATTCCAAAGTGCCCTTAGCTCCCAAAGCCTTTCTCGACCAATTACAATGCGCGCATAAAAATCGATTGTTGTCAGAACAGGCAGAGTAATTCTCTCTCTTGCTTGGAGGTCCTTCGTTATGAACACGAGTAGTTTGGTTACCGTCACCTCATTGATCGAATTTCACTGCTCTAATTGAAGCTTCTTCAAAACTTACCCCACACAATTTGCTGGTCTCCTAAATGGAGAGCCTTACTAATTCAAATCATTCGGACTACTGATTTGTCTATCTGAGGGTTAATGGTGTTTCTCCGGATGTTTGTAATTTTTTATCTTTCTTGCCTCTTCTTCCATCTCTCCTTGACAGATTCGACGTGGCGGATCGGCAGTTCAAATCGATCCCCGCTACTTGGGCTTTGATAATGGCTAGTCCCTATGATAACCGTGAATTAATTCCAGAATTCTTCTACTTTCCCGACTTTTTGCGAAACGATAATAGTAAGTTGGGCACTTTTATTTTTTCTCCTTTTTTTCACCTCTGCTTACCTTAATCTTCTCACCACCCGCATGTCATGTCAATAGCACGAACAAGCCCCGCCTCTCCCCTGGTGCTTCTCCAAACTGTCGATGCTAGTTTCGGCATTTCGTGGTATTGCAAAACACGGAATCTCACCTTAGTTAGGGAGGGTATGGTGATTTTTTTCACCACCGTGACTGGTAGACATGTATTTCGCGTTTTTTGCCCTTTGTTTGGCACTTTGGTTTTGTCAGGGCGAGTGGGCAGGTTGGCAGGCTCTGTTTTTTCCCTATTATTAAATTCACGCAACTTCGGTATGCTTCTAGATTAATCCTGTTGTAACTATCTTAGAGAAAATTAGCACGTTTTGCCATTATAGGCACTATTTGAGAAACAAACTCTTCCCTATTCCCGTTATAATGCTCATCATGTTTCAACTTCTTGTGAGAATAATGAGTGCTTCAGATTTCTATGCTGTTAGCGTTTGAAAGACAGGGAGAAGTAGCACCCTCTGATGATACCGGCACTTTTACAATGTGGAATGGGAACGCACCTGCTTCATCAGAAATCACCCTTTCGAATCTGGTACGAAAATGAGAGTGATTTCCTCATGTGTGTTCAACTCTCACGAGACGATCAAGACATCCAGTCACCAATATTTTATTGAACACGAATAGCTGCGTAGCATAGTGAAGATGCCTCGAATCTTACTCAGTTTAGGTCCACCAGACTGAAAATTGGCAGCTTTGTATGACCTTTAAATTAAGCCGAACAAATCCAATTTTTTTTAAATTTCCATGTTATTTGACTCCACAGATCTCGCTTCTTGAAAAGTAAGTAGTGAATTCTGCTGATCTAAGTGTGCCCCTTGAACCTATTCGGGCAGGTTTAAGAACTTGGACCAATGGGTTGGTTTCTTCTTCACATCACACTAACAGCTTGAACTTATAATTAAATCGAAGTTGCGAATTGAAAAATAAATTAGCAAAGTTGCCATTAAGTGGGTATGCTCTAGGAATAACAACGGCAGCAAGTTTCACTTCCAATTCATACGTCGACATAGCCAACTTGATTACAGGTGCCCAACGAAACAGGAACACATGAGACAGCTCCTCGTGGTTAAAACTTGAAAATTCCTTTCTTTTTTAATGATTTTAAACTATGCGAACATTAGTGTAATTATTTGTGACAGTCTTTGTGGTCTTACGTCACCGGAAAGCCCAAACGTGAGGAGGTATGTAAAACAACTGCCGAGCAGCAATAGCCTATACGTCGGTTGGAATTAATTCAAATCAATTAGATCTCTAAACAGGTTTTGCGTCTATTATTTTAAGCAAATAGGGGAAATCTCTAAAGTCATTTTACATCTTGTGGTGCTTCCGAGATGATTAAATTAATGTCGCAGCAAAAAAATAGTAGAACTAAATGCTTTTGAGGGCAAATGTTTTGGTAGGTTGTACCTAGTTTAGCCAAAAGGAGTACTTTTGCACACACAGTGCCAGGCTTTTCACTTTTTAAGGGATTCCCTAAGTTAGGCATTTTTCGTGAGTTAACTTGCCTAGCTAACCTCCAAGTTAAGCCAATTTCATTTCAGCGACTTTCACACCATACCAATCTACGTATTGATGTATGAGCGAATGTATCGAGAACTTGTCATTAAACCTAACCTCTGCTACAATTGAGAAAACTGAACAATCTTCCAGCAGTGTTTCTCCCTTTGTGCTTCTTAGTGGTACCCATACACCACTTTTCCTCGGCAATCATGCCAATGGTATTTACACGTTCCTTTAGCCGAAATCGGAACATGTGTAGCAATTTGCCTTATTTGTTAGAGTGATTGGTCCTAACCTCACCTCTGCTACCTTTAAATTGTTCAACATAATCACTAACAACTGTTACTGAACAGCATGGTCATCAAGAAATCCCGTTGCCTCGACACTTAGCAGCTTTTCTCATTTTACTTAGTCTGGGCACGTAATGTTGGCTGTAATCAACAGAAACTGGCCACTTTGAGCATATTTTAGTCACAAAGGCTGGAAAATTCGCCTGCCCCAAACATCGAAATCTACACACACATATTTGGAAACGGAAGGCCATTTGTTAAATTTGTTGAACTGCCCAAATGTCAGTTTAAGTCCTTCGCGCCTGAAATCCGATCAGATTATTTTAATGTTGACGTTTTCTTCGGGCTAAGTCCCACTGTTTGGTCAACTTTACATTGGCAATAAACAGCAGAACACAGCCTGACATTTAGCAACAACACACTTGCTTAAAACATTTGTATTTTTTTACGCCTGCATTTAGCTTGCCATGACCGCGACCATTTACGCAGAAATCGTTTACCTAATTTACTGCCTTTGGGAATGTCATTGCGATTGTGTTAATTTCTTTTCATTACATGGAAGAAGGCTCGGTGTTTTTTGATTCCAAGTTGTAAGTTGATTAAATAAGGGATCTTGTGTTGTTATATACCCCTGTCTTCCCGACGTCCAAGTTTTTCAATCACCTGCAATACAAGACTATGCGGTTTGATTAACAGAACTCATCCAACCGTTTTTTTAAAATTATATCTCAAGATTGAACGAACTTTCATTAAAATGGTTGAATAGTAGTCGAAGAAAACTGGGAATCCGTTTGGAGCCCAGGCTGGCAAATGCGGCAGAGCTTCCAATTTGAAGGTTTGGCTCACAGCTTTTCTCATATTCGCGATATGAAGGCACGAATTATTGTGTTGTGCTAAAAGACGCCATAATGTCGTTGGGTCACTTTCCCTGTATCGATTTAGATCGATACTTCCACTGAGCACAGAGATCTTCATTGACTTTTTCAATATTTGCAAGAAACGGATAATTGAGAACTCTCAATCCCATAGTAAAATATCAGGAGAAAATGTGTGAAGAAGAGTACGATACGGCGTTGATCTAAAAAATACCACAGTCCAGAAACGGATAATCACGTAAACTTTGTTCAATTTATGTTCACGGAACTTATTTTTTCCTCCAAAGTGGCCGTTTTATGCAAAATGCCGAATTTCCTTACAATATTGATTGGTTGTACTACATTTGATGCATCGAAATTGTCTTTAGGCTCTGATTTTTCCCTCATGTAATTGCCGACACCGTAATGGAGATGTTTGCCTGCCGTGCCAAATTCAAATCAAAGGTTATTAAATAAACTTGTGTTTTTGAGACATAGTTGCTAAGTCAGTTCTATCGAAACTTTAGTTTCCTTACCTTTACGTCCAACTTTTATTTCCAAGTAAACGTACTACAAGTTGGCAATAACCCGACTACCAAAACCCATTGCCCTAGATTCGAATGCTGTAACTTTAAAGTTTATAACATAAACGACAAGCTCTTCAAATTTTGTAATCACAGACTTTGATCTGGGGCGTTTACAACTTGACGGAAAAAAGGTGGGCGATGTGGAACTTCCTCCGTGGGCTTCAACACCGGAGGAATTCATTCGGATTCATCGTGGAGCCCTCGAGTCTGACTACGTTTCTGCCAATCTCCACAAGTGGATCGACCTTATTTTTGGGTAGGTTCATGTCGCAGGCCAAACGGTCGAAATGTCAGTGTCTAGCTGGAATCGATTTGATAGTTCAGCCCAAAGTTGGTCGAGATTTTTTTATCCGAACCTAATTGTAAGAATCCTAACTACTCCTTATGCGACACCGAGATGCCATTTTGTCAATTTTTGCAGTTAGCGGACCCAGTGGTGATTTGTCTCAAACGAGTGCTGCCGAATTTCAAACATTGCTCACAAGTTAGGTAGTCATGAAAGTGTGTGCATGAATAGGACACCGACTGCATAGTATCGCATCACGTTTGGCTCGTTGCTGTGCTTGGTGTGATACGAATCTGTCACAGAAATCATGTCGGATGGTTGAGTTGATTTCTCTAACATGTGCTTGTTTTTGTATGGAAGCCAGTGTAACCGATACGTGACTTGATCGAGCAAGCAAGATGGTAAGTGCCCAGCCAATCAACACGTTATTCATCGGACCCAGATCAGCGTGTGCTGGAGTTTGTGTAGTTATTTATCAGTACTTAAATGCTATCCCTAGTTTACCGATAGTCATCATTACATGTTTTCCTGTTAGACATTATTTCGACGCCAAGCCCTTGCACGTAGCAACGGAGAATTGGGTTGTTTTGAAAACCTACCTTAATTCCCCGTGGCATCATTGACATTTGAAAGACGTCGGTTGAATTCCTGCTACTATCATAGACAATCGTTGTGATTTTTTGCCTATCAAACCTTAAAGGTACTTGGCCATAATATATTCCTCACTTGAAGCAATCGAACAAAAACAACAACAGTCCATTGCCAATGGCGAGTTCAGATGATTGTTACATCGGGCGAGCTTCTTCATCCAGACAATTTTGTTGAATTTCACGCCCATGTGAACACAAATTATGATTCATCACTAGTATTAAAACCTAGAATCTAATCGCATGGTAGCATCCTAAAGACTGAATGCAGGAACAATATTTTTGTAGCCTACTGAAAAGAAACAAATTCACATAATAGAACATATTTTGACGAGGTGTTCGAGGTAGGGTTCGAGGGTAGTCTGTGGACATTCAAAGATGTCACCCAAAGATATTTCCTCCCAGTCGACAGGCAAAAATTTTGGTTTAAAACCATCCATACGTGACCCATGACGTGTTAGGGTGACTATAAATCGGAACATCTACTTTAAGCAGGCAGTTAATAATTCTTAAATTATTACAACTATTTAATTCCTAATATATCGTGTTCCTCCTTGACAATTAACCGCTGTTTGATCCACTGAATGGCCAAACGAGTTTTCTTAGAATCGGTCATAGTTTGGCTGGCAAATTTAGTTCATATTCGTGTACCTTCCTGTGCACTTTCCTTAGGTTTTTGTCATGCGTGTCCGCTATTGCAAGATGACTTATAATACGTAAATTTTACCTCCCTCAACACCTCAAGAGTCATGTCAACTTTTTTGCATTTCGAGACAAAGAAAATGAATTGGTTACCGGAGAAGAACCCTGTGAAACTTTAAAGCAGTATCCAACACAGAACAAAAAGTCTTAAGCGTCAGAATCTGGAAGTCAAAAATCGTTTGCGACGTCTCTTTTTCCTCATTGAGGCAGGAAATAAGTGCTGCTAGTTCAACCACTCATTGGAGATCACTCTAGCGTTTTATGCTCACTTTTAGAAACAGACCTGGGCCACATTTCCTCAAGTTTCTAACATGTTTTTCAGTTTAAGACACCCGAATCATAAAGATGGGTCCCTGTTCATGCTATAACCGTCTGTTTAAGTGCACCAATCATTATTGGCCAGTCAATTTGTAAACTAATTTCAATGTCTAGACGTGTATGGCGCTCAGTCTATTTTTTTTGAGGAATCATCAAAATGTCACTTAATCCAAGCGCCGTACAGCAATTATGGTTGCGATTTTTATCTGGAACAAGAGTGCAAATATCCAATTCAATGTAATTGAAGTGTTAGTTATTCCATAGGTAATGCTTTATCTGGTGAGTTCTTTTTCGGAACGTGGCAACGAAGACGTCTTTTTTGAAAAGTTTATTGTGACCTTTGAATTCCATTTCAAAATTAGCTTTGTGTAGTGGTGAAAGTTTTAGCAGAACGCGGTTGGTGCACTTCAACGGCCTTTCCATAATCGACGGGTGATTTATGTCTACAACTTTTGGCTTTTAGCGTATAATCACGGACTGAACATGAAAAAGGAGGAAGTAGAGACTTAAAGGGGCATGTAGACAACAAGCTGTCTTGCATTTTGTGTGTCTACAAAGTATCGTTTACGTGTGGCCCTAGTGATGGCAATCCCCTTCTCTTCCTGTCCCAAATGTGAGTAACTGGTATTTGTCAGTTGGACCACCTCTGCGTTCACTCACACGTGTGCCGATTCATGGCACTCTTTCAAAAACTACGCGGATGAAAGGCTGTGGAAAAAGGCATAGAGGCAGAAGATTATAACTTCAAATTTTAAATATGCACAAGAAGTGTCCTTCCAACTACTGGATTTCGATATCGCTGATCGTCACACCTTTCATGCTGTTTAGATACCAAAAGCAGTGTACGCTTTCAGGATCCAGACTTATACAAACTCGGAATCCTTGATTCGCTAGCTGAAGGACTACAATACGTTTGAATTTATTCAGTTACAGTAGCAACTACACCTCAAACTGTTTTCCTGGAGTTGTTCCGTATTCTTAAACTTAGTAAGTGTTGTGACAGCCATTAAAGCATACCGGCTAATTCCTGTTCCACCGGTGTTATACGATGTCAGCGTATTCTATCGCACACACAAGCTGTCGTCTTGTAAACAAGAGAAAATGCTCCTGATCCTTTCCAGTGTTTCTTGCGGATTTTAGAACCTGAGTTTCACGGGCCGCTGCTTTTAACATCCAATGGAGTCAAGGGTTCGCGGTTGCAAATTAGGTCTATTAATTAGTTGTGGTTGAATTGATACTTCAGTGTGATGAACCGTTCATGATTTGGTTCTATAAGACCTGTTATTCGACAATGGGTATCGGTACTTAAGTTCCAGTTGCCACCCATCTTATAGCGATGTCCAAATCAACCCACACTTGATAAAGCATTCCGAGTGGAGTAAGTTCCTCCTAGTTGTTTCGAAAAAGGCAGTTAACCAGAGGCTGGCCTCTCTAGCTTCAATAATGACAAGAGAACATGAGGCCCATTTGACAAATAAGTGCTCTTGGAATAGCTCAAATATGTTAAATGTATTTTTCTGGAATAATGTACAAAATCGGTAATAATTCAATTTCTATATACGTATTTGGATTGTCGCTGAACAATTACAACAGCTCCTAATCTATGTGTTTCCGATCCTTAAGAAAAAAAACTTGCGACGAGCAAGAGATGTGTACTAAAATTTTGAAGTTTTATATCAATAAGCAAAGCATTTATGAATTGCGCATTTAAAAAACCAAATGTTTGCAAGTTTTCTCTATGAATTCCTTTTTCACTTATCTCTTTATGTTTGTGATTGCTTCAATTTCTGAATGTTGGTTGTTCATACGTTGGAATGATCGCGTGTATATAATACCAGTGAATAGTTGAACAGCCTGGGTGTGTATTTGCAAAACAGTTTGAACCATCGCATGGGCAGAGCATTATGCAACACCACGAGAGGACCACCTATCACGTACACTTGCAACATGCCTGGTGGTCGCACCGTTTGTGTGGAATTAAAAAAGTCGACATCTATTGAAATGTTTGAGGTGCATCGAACACGCAGCACCAAGCATTCTTGACATATCGAAGTTGCATTTTTTTGGAACTGGAGAAGTTGTAAAATGAATTATCCGCAAAAAAAACTAATTAAATCCCATCCAACTTATCATAATCATTCAGTTTTTTTTCAAATCTTGTCCCTCTTATTTCGTCGTGGCCATAATTACCTCCTGGAAGTAAATCTGAAGCTTCGGGAATACCTAGGTAATTAGTTTGTATGAAAACCAACCCACTATCTTAAACATTTTGTTAAAGTTCACTCACAAATTTATAAAAAAAGACGAAGTGTTATTGTTAATGATGTAAATGGCACGTAAATACGGCAAGGTGAACTACTAGCTTGATCAAGGACTCGTGTTAATGCAATCGGGACCACCACGTGCAGGACCACTAAGAAGTGACGTGAACAGCAATTCCCTCCTAAATGTGTTAATCTTTAAAATCTTTGTCGAATTCAACCTGCTTCACTTCGGGTTAATTTTATGTAGAATATTTAAGTTAGTTCATTTAATCATTTGACCACCTAAATCGGCTCATTTATTATGATCCACTCGTCTCTGCATCACGCAAGATTTCCATCAGTTGTGGATGGCTTCAAAATCTGTCTATGGGTCATGCCTGTTTTTCAAGGGATGTTCACAATTTAGAGCTGGAACGTAACTAATTGAGCAAAATTGCGATATAGCAGTCATCCCACGGAAAATTTAAGTAAGACTGTCCTGTCAGCCGATTTGAGCCTCTGTTAACACATTGACCTCGTTAATGTGTAAGTAGCTTGAGCAGGTTACCCCAGAAGCGCCTGCCTCTGATCATAAATGTCTTGCCGAAGCTCCAAATGTGCGACACTAGACGATTTGTTGTTTTGACCGATTTCAGGTACAAGCAGCGCGGTAAAGCTGCTGAGAATGCACTGAATTTTTATTACTATCTGACTTATGAAGGGGCCGTCGATTTGAATGACGTCACCGATCCAGTCGAACGGGCTTCCATCGAGGGAATGATCAAACACTTTGGCCAAACGCCCTGCCAACTCCTCAAAGTAAGCTGCTTCCTTTTTTTTGGTTTTCCGTACTGAGCCAGGAGTACTTAGTTGCGTTACGTTACGCTTTCCCGTAACCAAGAGAACATCCACTCAGGTAACCGGTACCCAGATCCCCTGTCTGACCCTAGAATCAGCTTTCCCACGCTAGGGCAAGACATGACCTCGCACAGAGAGCTTGTATCATCTCAGCCAAATGCCGATGAGCCATATTTGGGAATCCTGGATCCACAACACTTTTCCAGTTGAGTATACTCAATATGATCTTACCAATGACTATACGACAGTGTGCAAATCTGATTTAATTCTCTCCTGTGGTGAACTTCCAGCTGCAGTTAGGCCAGACAAGCTCTTTTCCTCGAATCATTGTCACACACACGCATCTACACGCGAATTTAGGTTCTGAATCACTGGTCGCCAACTTTGGATGTAAGTGGCAGGGCCCAGGAGGAAAACCGCACGTGAATAACACCTCTGTACCCATCCCCAAATTTGTCCTAACATCTCAGCATAATTGTTATTGCGTTATCCGCTATAACGCAGATTTCCGATCGACACCTTCACCGTCTTCTCTTGCATCAACAGTGGTGTCCAAATAACCATAGTAAAGCGTGAATTTCAAGCTGCGCACTACATGCAGTTAAAACTTTGTGTAAATAATCCCACCATGTAATGACCCTGACTAATTTTTCAGCCTTTCTTGAGTAATGATGGTTTCAGAAACGCACACACCAGGCCTCCCTTTTAAAGCATAAGTTAATTTTTTTCAAAATTAATGGCATTTCAGTTTCACGGAAGAATTGCCAACTACTCAAGTAGGAAGGCAAGGTTGCACTTCTTGATGTACTCTCTAGGTAAATCATCACTGCTTATATTTCTGATGGTAGTTCACGAGTTATTCGATTTCTTGCTGCATTTTTTTAAGCAAACGAATTTACTCACGACCTATCTCGGTGTTTCTATGTCCCCCCAATGCCACGGAAACCTGTCATTCATCTGGTGCGAAACTTTTTGCTGCACTGATATCCACTACAAGGAGGAATGTTTACTCGCGTTAAATGCCATGTATGCGTGTTTTAAGCACTGAAGCTCCCAGGTTTGCGAAACTCAAACTCCCAACCTTTTATTTGCATTTGCATTTGAAACACAAGTAAAATCCTGCACAGACATGCTCATTGATATCATTCGCGTATTGCTTTAACTCAATCTACGGCATCGTAATTAAATTAGAGGTAAATTTTTTCTAGGTCATCAAACAGCATACAAATGTAGACGCGTAATTTTGGGCCGATTACATCCACGTAGGTTTCAGTGGCGGAGCAGCGTAAATTTCTATCGCGTAATAGTTCACCTCGGCACCAGACCAATGCCAAACGCGGAAGGCATCCACAAATGCCACAGATGCTTAGCTGACCCCGACCCTATTGACACCTGGCGCGAATCGCCAGGTAGTGATAACCCCATATCAGCGCCTAAATCTAGCATGTGTACTGTGGCCTTGGTGGGTTAAACGGATTATTTTTGCGTAGCCAGAATATTTTGCAGGATGGTTGTATTAAAGGTGTGAGTGTTAGAGTTACACTATTCAGACAGGAGCTATGGAAACCTCAACTGTGTGCTCTGAGATTCGAACAGCCAACACTAATCATGCGCAGAATTCGCTGCTACCGGGCACTGGTGCTGATCCCGTGGTTGTACCCTCTATGTGTGGACTCAAACCAAATGTTGACTTGTAAGGCGTAGTCTCTTTCCGCATGCTAAAAGGCCTGTTAAGGAGCATTCACTAATCGCACCGGCTCATCAGTTTACGGGGTCTCGACAGAAGCATCCATTGCTGTTGTCTCCACTTCGGTATTCTTCGGTGCAGCAGTCCTTTTCCTACCCCACATCGGTGTACTGGGAGAATACGAAGCCCTGATAACATCTGTGCCGACGCTCGACGTTAGGCTAAACAGGGCCTGACCTGCTTTCCACGCGGTCAGAAATCCAGCGAAGTTCCTAACTGGCTCGATGCCTGGACTCGTTGAGACCCGCCAGTGTCCACCCTCTATCATTGTAGTGGTAGAATGGGGAAAAAGAGCAAAACATATGATACGCGTAATGGAGACCTTACCCCAAATATACCTGTGTTCCTTTTTTATGTTTCGTGTCATATGCGTTTGTGTGTGGCTGTCTCTCATCTGATTGAGTTTACTTAGGCCAGAGTCATAATTTGAAATTGGTCTTTCACGATCCCATTTATTTCAAATTTTGATATTTCTTGGTAGGCTTTCACGTCCCGGTCCATTAATCTAAGCAATTCAAACATTACACGAACATATCGTTTGATGTAAATTTGGGCACGCTTATGCGCAAACATCCCTGCAGCCAGTTATCCCCCACCAAATGCCTGCCTCCATAGAAGCACACCACGAATATTCAAACGCCTCGTACTTCCATCTTAAACGAGTGCAGGCCTTTTACTGATTAAGAAGTAATGCATGCGTAAAATGGACGATGCCAGAGTGTTTGAAGTTAATTACGTGTCGTTTTTGTACTCTACCTTTGGTCATCTCACTTCTCATGTCACTTTTCTACAAGTCTGTTTCTTTTCTGGGTCCCTGTAAGGTAGTTGTTGTGACCGTAGAAACGATCCACCATATTTTACGGTCAGCCGATGTGTGTGGGGTGGTCCTCCAAAACGGGCATTGTGAGTCTTGTGTTTTGCTTGGCCGTGGTTGGCAACTTTCCCCAGTGCGAAGTTTTCTTGGTGTTACCAACTGCTAAATTAATCTTCGTTTATGGGAGACGGTTCTCCACATTCTACTTCTTTTCTGTCCTAGTCTGTGCTACATTTTTTAGCAGCCGGAAGAACGCTTAGGGTTCGCGGTACACGACGGCTGGTACGGGGTTTTGAGGTCGGCTTGACATCCTGAACACTCATACTGTGGTATAGCGTGTCATTGCTTAAAGTAGCTCGTTTTTGCAACAACAACGCTACCTAGACGCCACAAAATGTCCACGTTCGCCGTGGAAGTGCAGTGTTTAGGTGAATCAGCCAAAGTTTCGAACCTGTGGCTTTGCCTTGGCTGGCAAAGTTTCCACGATGCCTTTTTATAAGGGCAACCAACACATGCCTTGGCAGTATTTAGGTCGCTTGCATTGGCCGTGTTTTTTTGCCGATTTTTCATGCCCACTAGCCTGTGTCGCCCTATTTGATTTATTCGCTCACCGCTCCTGTAAATGTCCAGACCATGAAGGGAGAACTCTAAAGGTCGATCTGTGCACATCATTTTTCAGTCGCCTCCCGGTTTGGTCTTTGCCATATTTGCTTTGTAATTGCTCAATAGATTCCTCCCCGAGCCGTTGCCGCTTCAAATTGCCGTTTTTGCGAGTCCTTTTCTGGCTTTTGATTGACAGGCTACTCGTCAATCCAAGATGGACGTTTTGTTGACGGGAGGCGTCAGTTGCTAGGGTGGGGGAACGGTGGGGGGGGACGTGTGACAGACGGGGCCTCCTGTTTGTCTGGGCGGCCTGTCTAGGTGATTGTCAGGTCCTCGAGATGAGAGAGCCTGATGTTTATCGTGGATGGCCCAAATAAAGCCTGGGGTGATTATTTGCATTTTTACTTGATAAACATTATGCAAATGCCTGTTTTCGAATCCATAAGACAATGTTCTTTTCGTGGGATCCCAAGAAGCAGGAAGCTTCTTGAACTTCATATCAGTCAGCTCTATGGTGATGAAATGTTAGGGTACTCGCAAGTTTGGTGACTGTCCCGTTAAAGAAATTTCTTCCACGTTGAAAACGTGCTTCTGACTTATTAAAAAGCAATGACGGGAACTCAGCTCTACAAGCTTGTGCAATGGGGATGCGGCTGCCTTATTGTCTGTCTTTTTTGTAAAATAAGTCTTACGAATCCAGAGTTCACCGTTTTGAGTCAGTGTAGTATCCCAAAGTCTTTTCCACTATTTTCAAGTACCCACTAGCAGTCATTTAAACCAATTTACTCTAATCTTGCAAGCACTGGCTTATAGTTGAAAACCCATTAAGGCGACCTATCGAGTTGTCCTCATGTTCAGCGAAATGAATTGTCCATCAGACATTTCTTTTCTGGTCACATCTCATTTTATGGATGAGTATTCACTGTCTAAGTTGCTCTCCCAAAATCATGGTATCTGACATTGTACAGAATAGCCGGTAACCAACTAACCTGAGAAGCAAAGACTTTTTCGATGACAATGCTAAGGAGGGTCACACACAATCAATATGCAAACTTAGCTTTTGCGACTAGTAGTACATGGTCTCCAATTACCAGTGGTTTAAGCTCGTGGGAGTTCAATGCTAAACGAGTCTTGCGGTAGGGTGCTGATGTGCATTGCCAGAAACTGTGCCAGATACAATAAGTCCACTAGTTTGCTTCTGAATTCCTAATCCTGCTCTTACAAGAGCAATTAATTTAGTTCAATTAGGTGAGGGCCAAAATACAGCAGTTTTCGTGGTTCAGGCTTACGGCTACTTGAACTGCTTATGCCTGAGAAACCAGGTTGAACGTGGGCCCTTTGGTTGGACCACTCTGCTTTTTCTCGAAACCCCATTGGGACAAAATAATTTTAGCCATATACTCCAACTTCTTTGAGATCTCATCGACTCCACATTCGCACAATCCACGTGAGTGTGAATGTAATCTCTTTTTTTAGGGACTCGTTTTCAGCATATAGCACTAATGATGATGTTTCTCAAACATGGTTAATTTATATCTACAGTGTGAGATGAGGTGATTTTAGACCAGTCGCGTGGCAGGACTCTTGTCTTTTTTCGGGTTCAATGCAGATTCTCATTTGTTTGAACTGTTGTGGGCCCCAGCATGTGGTCCTGAATCACGCCGGGGCCACGGAATTAACTCTGGCCCGTTTACGTTTCCCTGATGCCGGCGATGAAGAAAAAGACCGGAGAGGCTGTGGACACAACCGTTTACTTCAGAGCTCAGTCACGTTGGTGTCGTTGTGTCCTGTGTGGGGTTCGCGCGTGTGTATTTATAGCTCGGATGTGTGAGTCATACATGCACTAACGTCGAGACCTAGGTGTGGGGATACTCCAAGATAAATATTCGTGCTAATGAAGGGGCAGTTGAGGATTCGCGCGGCTGGCGACATGCTGCGAGAAGGGGAACCCTGTGTCGGAGGTGGAGCGACCGGATTAAGGGGTTGAATAAACATGATTCACAACAGAACTGTGGTTCCTGTTTTGCGATAGTCCATATTGCCTGTCCCACTTTGGATACAAGATAAGGTAACCCCCAAGAAAAGTTGTTTTCATGTGAATGCCACCAAAGGAAGGGCAAGTGATCATATCGTGCTTAACATAAAGTGACTGTTGCTTCGCGACAAGTCTCTGCAATGCCAGTGTTTTCTTCCTTATTGAGGGATTTCCTCTCGTGCTTAAATTTGGGGGACCTTAAATACACAACGAGTAGAGCAGTGAAGTCAGGCGGTCAGCCATGTTACCGATTGTACAGACCTGCTCACAGTTCGGCACACGACCTTTGAACTTTCTTTCTACACCCCCACAGGTTCCCCACATACCGCGCATCAGTTACTCCGATTGGGTCTACAAGATGCTCATCCAACGACATCTGCCTCTCCTTAACGCGGCGATAATCTACATGAAGACAAATGTGGAGTCCTCTTCCCGAGATACCTCGCCTGAACGCGACGACGGCAAGGGGCAGGAACGGAAATTGTCTGTTCGTCTGGCTCGTCATCGTACACGATCAACCATGATTCATGACAAGGCGGAGCCTCCTATCGAATTGAGTCAGGTCGGTTTATCTCGACCGTGGATAATTTAAACGGTGTCCCACAAGACCTCTCAAGTCTACTAGTTAATTACTTAGCTTATCCATGTAATAGGTGGACACAATTACCACCATTAGTTTTAATTTATAATGTGCACTAAGCACTCCAAAGACTTCACCCTACATAGAGGTTGAAAGTCAGGTCTCCAAACGGAAATATTTGCGTGTCTTAGAAAATAAGGCGCAAAAACAACCGGAAGTCAGCTGTGCAACGTATTTATGACCCAAGGTACATATTTTCAAGCTTTTTTGTTTCGACGCGTTTTTCTCCAACCAATCAATCACTGGAGTTGTTAAGTTGTTACCGTGCGTGATCTGCCCAACACTCAAGCTAAAGTGTTACTACTGTTTCCAGTTCAATTCCATTCAATTTAGGCTATTGGCTTCTGTGTAGCCGTTATTTGATCATGAGCATGTTCTAATCACGCGGATGTTGCGTTTCCTCATGCTTGTGCAGCCTTTTATCCTACTAGAGCCTTCCCAAACCCATGCTATCTAAATCAAACTGTGGAAGATGATGAGTTACTTTCCACCCTCATCATTTTTCACGGTGAATCCAAGGCTGTTTGCTCGTGATATCAACCGGAACTCTCGCGGTCGCTTATGAGAATGGCGTAGTTCCGATTCACCGTTGTTCTCAGCTGTAATTTACAGCATCCGAATTCTTTTAATTGAAACTATCAGTGTTAGTTGGTTATTATTGCGTCGTTTTGTTTCTCACGAAAAAATTGAGATGGTAGTATGTATTTGACTCATCAACTTCAGTCATCTTGGCCTCGTGGCTATTTGATCAACTTCAATGGGCTAATCATGTAGATTATCATTGCAGAGGTTATATCGTTGATCTGTTTATTAAATTGTGTAATTTTTGGTAAACAACATTGAATTGATAATGTATAGTTGATTTTTTTCGCTTTTAATCACCTATCGTTACACAACTATTTTGTGCAGATTATCGCCGATGGATAATGCTGTATTTTATTGCCCCTGGCCTTTCTAAATTTGGCATTATTAAAGCTATCAAAAACAAAACATACCAGAACTCGGAATGCCCCGATATCAACGACAGCATTTATCTTACCCATTCTAGCCGGACACCAAGGTAATGTCAAGGTTCTTATAAGGGGGATTGGCAGGATCGAAGCCAGCCCTTCCCAGCCACCATCAATGCACCTGCACCATCTTTTTTGCTGTTGAATGTTTGGTACTTCCGTGCGAATTGCACTCGTGGCGCATTCATTGCTATTCCCACATTTTTTGTCGACTGCTGGCTCACCCATGCTAGTTTGTGGCTTGCTAATACTTGCTCTTTTTCTACCAGCCCTTTTTGATTTCACGGTTGCACACGCCATATTAACAGGCACGTTGTGTTTGCTAAGCCACCCTGAGGGTTTTCTCGATTTTTACGGTTAAGCTTGTCTGCCTATCTCGGACTATGGTGTCACTCCATCAGTCAAAGTCCCGCTCTTTTGCTCACCTTCCCGTTGGCATTCTGTGGGTTTGTGTAAGGTCTGGCATGCGTTGATAAGCGAAAGGCTCGTTCAGGAGCCTCGGCCAAGGTCAGCGTGTCCACACCTGGCCATGTTGGGGGAGGCGCCAAGTCACGTTTTAAGATTAACGGAAGTAATTAACAGAAGACTAATATTTCTGCAGCTGCTTCAGGGATTGATGACCATTGGACTTCTAAGGTAATGTTTAATTATTTGCTCAAGGCTTGTGGCTATGATCCAAAGACCTTGAAGTATTGTAAACGTGGTTGGTTGTCCAATCTTTGTTTTCAGCCACAGTTTGTGGAGCGTGCCGCAGGTCCATCAAACAACGTTGTACATGGGGGCGGTGCATCACTTTAAAAAAAACTCCTTCCTAATCTGTTTATTGAAATGCGTAAACACGTAATGAACTGGAGTCCTCTGAAAGTTGTCATTACGGGTTGCGCCTACTTGTTCCATTTATTTCGAATAAGGCGCTGGAATATCGTTTCCTCGTGTCACATTTTTAGCGTTTACTTGCAAACCCTGGGCGATTGTCGCGGTTACCGATGTATTTTGGTTTAAACGTGGAGGCGCCGATTTAACAGCTGTGATCCAGAGAACCGAAATTTGATCACTTCCCGAAAAAATACAATTTTCTGGCATAGCTTTCGGTTTAAAGTCGCCGATTATGTGTTTTCGAATACTTCATGACAGCTTGATCAAGAAATGTCAATATGGTGTCAGATTTTGATAACCTCATCTCATCTTCCTCCTTGCATGACACGTGTACGTACATCTGTTGTGAAATCACTGGGCGTCTTCCCTTTTAAAATAATTTTCTTAACCATGGAATAATCTCTGCGATACGGTTTCCAATATATAAAGGCGTTTTGGCAGGGTACCGTAATAATGTATTAGTGGTGCTGAATTTTAGCCGTGGGAAGGGGAAATTAAAGTATTCGTCCACTGCTGAAAAGCATAGTTAACGGGTTACATTGTCCGTGCGTATCCAGGCTTCCATCTTACCAATCGTTTCTACCGTTTCTAAAAATGCAAACTAACATAAATGCGATGTGCCCGGAGGACAAAATGACTATGCGTTTTATCTGAGTAGATATGTGTGGATGTCGTAGTATGTCGTGTACGCAAAAATTCACCACTATGATTCACGTTTTTCTCGCGCAGACCGCTGACCTTCTGCCCTCCTTCGCCTGTAGAGATTTGTAGTGAAATTTTTCAGCTGGCTTAGAATGTTATCAAGTACTCAACATTTATTGAACTATGGTTGACTGTCTTATTAAAATTCTCTGGAGGTCCTATCAGACCCGTAAAATTAGTTTATTCTTATGACATTGATTGGTGAGCCTGCTAGTTCCTGCTTACTAGAGGCTCAGTGGTTTTTATTGTACAACTTGGAATCCACAAAATTTCCCGCAGTTGTGACATTTCGTAGAATGATTGACTCATTCTGTCCTTCATTCGTGGCTGCTGTAGTGGGTTTTCTGGATACGTTGGTATTTCGCATGGTCGTCTGGTTTCAGTGCACGGCTCAGGTTCCAAGCAAATTCCCCATAGTAAACAATAGCACATACTTTTTCTCATCAAAAGAAGCATTTTCATGTAGTTTATAAAAGTGATTAGATTTGGCATTAGCATGGAATTGAAACTGGTGGGGGACCGTATAGTGAATTTCTCGGAAACCTAAGCATGTGTACCGATGTCTGCACTGTCCCATTTTGTGTGGAGTGCATCCAACGCAGTACCCAGTGCTGTTGTGACCCCATCAAGGGTGTCCGATTAGAATTTTCATTTCCCTCTTGCTTATTCCTAAATCAAGAATTCGTTGTGTAGAACCTCCTCTACGCTATCCGCTGCTATTACCTTCGCTGTGCCGCTAGTCCAAATAAAATGGGAGTAATTGTTTATGGAGTTATGTCTATAAACCCTGATAAGGGGCTTTTAACAAAGTCTTCAAACTAACAGGCTTGATAAATAATTGAATTTAATGAAACTCGACATACACTAGTTCACAACTTGATCGTCCCAACATGTATAAATTATAAACGTCCTTATCTAGTAGCTACAATCTTCATCCTTGGTGCAAATTGATTGCCTATTATTTAGTAAATGGTACCTTGTGGTAAGCTTTGCACTTCTAGATGTGTCCAAGATCGTCTTTTGCGTAGGAAACAAGTTATCCCAAAAGTTTGTCCCTGAAGTAACGGTTCTATGCGTAGAGTGACTGCGGACAGTAGTGCTCCAAGTGAAACTTGAAACTCCGATGCAGAGTTTTGCACTGTCCACACGAACGCATTTTCGATGTTGTGCGTCTTCTTTGCATTTATGCTTCACAACGTCAAGGCTCTTATGTGTGGCTAGATTTGAAGCCAACATGGAACCTTTTAAGAAAGGACTTATTCTGGCAGTTATCCTGTTTCTCGTCGTTGAATAGGAAGCGTCGGTAGAAATCTGCTGACCGCAAGGAATCACGTAGTTAAAATCTATCGATTGACGCGATCAAACTGCTTCTTGGACATTACTACCTCTTTTTCCTTCTCTTTAGCACACAATTGAAGTATATTTTTCGTACAAACCCGCCCCCAAACGCCGTGGGCTGATGCATCCCCCGGCTTTCAGTGCCTTGATTCCGTACCAGCTAGTTCAGCTGCCGGATTTACGGATAGCCACTCCGTCGAATTGCACAGGCCTCGCGCCTGGTCAGAGGCGCGAGCCTTCCTCCGACGATCTTCTGTCTGACGTCTCCGGGCGATCTCGTTTTGTCAGTGGATTGAAATCAATGCTGCCCAATTCCCCGGTGACCGGCAGCATCGGAGTTTCGCGTATGTTGGTCCATTAGGTCCCCTTCTCTTAGTACTACCCAACTGACTCGACCACAGGTGAGGAGGCGTGAATCGGGAGCTTAAAACTGATGCTAGACGAAGTCACAGCCGGCACACCCAGGTGCCTCTGACTCTTGCCCCTTTGTGATGCAATGGATGCAAGAGTTTTTTTCGTTTCAGTCTGGTGCACATGGAAAACAAGTTCAATGCAATCGCCATTGTACTGTATTAATCGTTTAAGCTATTGAGCTAAAATCACAACTCCGTGTTTGTGTAGATAGGCAGATGAAACCCGGGCTACACGTGTTTATCATCGACTTCACGTTGTTGAGTGGGAGGTGGATAAAAATCATGGCGGACGGACGGCGCGTGGCCAGGACTGTTAGCAAGACGACGCAGCACTTTTGTTCACTCTATTGACGGCTTTACCTGTCGCTTGTAAACTCAATCCTCATACAAGAAACGTGGAAAATGTCGGTCCACTAATTGTTTAAATTCAAGATATTAGAAATGTAGAAAAAGTGCTATAATCCAATTTTAACAAAGACAGGCCCTTATGCCAACATTCATTGCATAAATAAAGGCTTCATGGTGAAAATGCGCAGAAGTGTTCACAGGCTCCGTTACTCATGGGCCGAACTTGAATCCCCATTTGAATTGTCGGCACTGTTAAGTTTTCAAATTACGTTAAGTCACTGTATTGCTGCAAGTATGTTTACTGGGAAACTCTGTGAGAAAGCAATCATCTTAGTCCATACACAAGTCTTCAGGGTTTGGTTTATTTTCCTTTGCATAGCAATTTCTTTTGCATTGGAATCTTTTCTAATCGGTTTGTTGCATTGAGTTCTCAGAGCTGCTTTTTTGAAATACCAGTCTTCAAGCCTGTGTCCCCACTTTATTTTCAGTTGGAAGTGCTTCCTCGAATGCCGTTGCAAACAGCAACCATCTTGTCTGCCAGTTTGTAACGGTGGATGCGGCCGGATGGGTTAACCACCATCTGCTCACTCCGCTGGCTCATGGCGAGCCAGGTGCTTTTTCGGAAAGCGAGCTCCAACAGCAAATGAGCGTCCACAAACACAATTCACTTTGGAACAGTGGTGACGATGGCGTTCCTGCGCACCCCCGTCATCACACCACCGAGCCGGAAGCAATTAGTCCTGCTCACATTGACTGCGAGTCTATGCGATTTTCACCTTCCAGGTAAGCTCTTTTGGTAGCATTAATGTGGGGCTTATTTTCTTAATTTTTTAGGAGTCTTTTAATGCATGTTTGCAAAGGTTATCTGCTTCAGATTTACCATTGAACCAAGAGACAATATTTGATGAGGTATACTATAGGCGAAGAATCATCGTGGTACTGATCCCATTCGATGTTCACCTGTAGGTCAGTCGTGAAATGAGCCAACGGTGCCAGGGCCTCCGCCAGGCTTAAGTCAGGCCTTGTCCATCCCCGATGTCATGTAAATGCACGCAGTCGGACAGGTCGTGATTGGATAAAAAACCTTGGTAGATTCTTGTGTCAAAATCAGGACTTCAGAGTTGAATGATATCGACTGAGCGGTATATGCTATTAGAAAGTTCGACTAATTCCCAATAGAATCAGGGAATGTTTACTCAGTTTGTAGTTCCGTTTGTGAATATTTGAAGTCCCGGCCATTGGAAGCTGTCAGTAAAAGTGTAATAATCACGTGGTTGCCATGGCACCCAGAAACTCAGGAACTTTATTTACGAAGTTCTAGGTTGTAGTACTGGTTAACATGAACATTCTCATGTGACCTTGTTCCTTTGAAACTCACTTCAGTCAGTCACCAGATTGAATCTTCTCTCGTTGAAATCCACTTGCGCGCATATAAATTTTCCGCTAAAGTAGTTATCACGAGGAAAATAGGCGTGGTGGAGGACTCGGTTTTGCACCTGTATTTGTAGCCATTAAATTTAATTCCTTTTTTTGGAAGCGTGCGACAGCGCCTACTTGGACCAATGCTTTGTCCATCACATGACACGCCCCTCAACACACACAGTCCTTGCGCTATGTCCACAAATGGCTGCCATCTTTACGCCGCTGGACGCTGGGACAACCGAATCGCCGTCTACAGTACACAGACGGGACGCCTGGACACCCTTGTGACGACGCCTCACACGGACGTCGTCACCGCTCTCGCTGTCGATCCAGGCTGTTTTCGAAAATCAGCCCAGCATGGCTCAGCCTCGCAGTACCTCATATCAGGCAGCCGTGACGGAACAGTGTGCGTCTGGAACTTCACCACCTTCTCTGGCAGAATGATCAAACAGGTCCGGGCTGATCAAACTTTCATCGAGGACTTCGAAGCAACAAAGAACGTTGTAATGGGTAGTGGCAAGACCACCTCGCATTCGGCGAGTGCTGGCGGCAGAGCAAATAACCCGGAAAACTACCCTCCAGCCATGCAGGAGGAGGTAGAGGCATGTATTAGTGCTGGAATGCCCTTTGACGACAGTGTCCTTAACTTTGGCTGTGGGTGTAGGGTAAGTGAGGTTAACGGGGCTTCCGGACGAAAGACTTCAATCACAAGCAGCAGTTTTATGCTTGCCCCTCCAGTGGAAATAGCCAAGGTAATGCGGCTCTTTCCTGCAAACGAAAGCGGCAGTCCAATCAACAATGTAGCCCTTTATCTCGCTCTAGACGTAGCCCTATGCACCTCCCATAACTCCAACGTTGTTCGAATTTATGCAGTAAAGAGGGGTGTGTGGTCTCGTCAGGTAACACTTCCCGAAGCGGCCAATATCGATCACCTCCTAATCCACGCTTCCTCTATTTCGTTCATCGTTCAATGGACAACAGATTCTAGTAAGGGCCGACAGCCGCGTCTGACGCGGTTCAACTTGAACGGGAGACTGGTTGCCGAAGCACCTGTATTTCCAGACCCTACTTTGGCTCTCTCTTCACGACCCTCAAATACACGCGTGACACGAATGCTCATCGCGATGTTGTCACCTTCGGCAAACGCGAGGACTGTAGTCAATCACATACTGCTTTTGGCGACGTCTTCGGGTCACCTGGTGATGCGAGAAGCCGAGTCGTTGGCCCAGCTACGCATATTCTCGATTGGGACGCCTATTACATACATGAGCTTGACCCCCGCGACCCACGCGGGGTCGATAAATCTGGTCCTCGTTTTGGCCAATGGGACGTTCGTTATCGCCTACCCAGGCCTAACCGCTCCGCTAACAACCCTCACTTCGGTCGCGGCAGCGGCAAACCACTAGCTGTGATCAACCAGTTGCGCCATTGAGTTTTCTCCCTTTTTTGTATTACTTTTTAGATGAAAAATTTTGTAATATAAGATCGATATATTTTATGCTCAAGTTTGTGAACGTGAAGCTTTTAAATAAGTCCGCTTAAATCATTTGGCTTATTGGCACACGTGTGCACGCGTACATGTTGATCTACACGTCTTCTGTTAAATCTTGTTGACCTTGGGTGAAAAGCAAAGCATGAATAAACAGTGATGGTGTCACAGAAGTCTTTATGCCTGTGGGGGAGGTCATACACCAAAGATCGTTGTAGGGTTTGATCACATTCAAAACGTTGGCCTTTTAGATGAAGCATCGTATGCAAAAACATGCATACATTTATATTTGCACTAGACTATAAGGGGTCATTTTTGAGGTAATGAAGATGTGGTGGTAACGGAGATTGCTCTGTTCCCAGGCATCTAGTTTTAAACCCAAACTATTGGAACAGGTGTCTCACAGAAGTAATTTCGGTTGCACTACCAATGATCTTTCCTTGACGCAAAATCTCATCGGATTCGCCAAAAGGTGGTAGGTTGGTTTCAAAAACAAACAATGATTATAATTCGCTTTCCAGATGGTTTAAACATAAATTTCCTTGGCGACTGACCTGACACTGAAATGGCCTAATCACAGCTTCTAAGAAATTTTAGCCGAGCCCACAACTATGCGTCGTCTGTAACGATTTCTTTGTTGCTAATCATATTTAACGACGACTAATAGCACATCAGTTGATTGCTTTATGCGCGTTAATAGCAAATGGCAATTTTTAAGTGCTGGCATCCGCACTTCTCCCGTTCCAGCCCATGTTGGAAATGGGAAAGATGGGATTCCGGTAAGAAGCGCAAAATTAATCGACTTTCCTACCCAATACCATCATAGGGAGTGGGCATAGTTGCCAAGCGGCAGCATCCAGCAAATTCAAGGTGGATCGCTTCTACTACACTCCGAGCCTGAAGCCACTACGAACACAACTGGGGCGTTTAGTGTCCCGCCCTGTACGCAAGTCGTTGTTCAAAAACCAGCCCTTGTGGCATTTCGGTCGGTTAGGAACTCGTGAAATCTAGCAGTTTAAAACAGGGGCTCAAGTTGTCAGTGTGGCACCCCATACACGTGGGTTGAAATCCGTCTGGATTACCATTATTCAAGAGTCTGCAGTAGGCAGCACACCTACACTTGAGGTGCCTATGGTCGACCTTCAAGTTTTCCAGCCATTCTGCTATTTCATCTACTCCACGCCACACTGTCAGTTTACATGCCTTGTTGCTTGGCCACAAGGTTAACAAGCCACGGTGAGTTAATTCGAGTGACGAAGCAAAGTCCGAAACCACTGATAAGTGGGAAGGTGAGCACGAGAGCTTGTTCAAATCTTCGTTAGTTCGGAAGCCTCCCAATATACCGCATACTTTTTTGCACGCTTGCTGAGAGCTGCTGGACGTGGTACCAAAATAGGTGGACGTCTACTTGCCACCTAATAAGGCCAAAACTGGTTGAACTCCGCTGGTGACCTGCAACTCCAATGAAGCCCTAATCACGTGTCATTTGTCTACGTGAGATCCATAGGGTCATAATCTTGCGAGGACACCGCGATTTAGTTGTCTTGCCACGCCGTGGCTCTGGATGCCGGGCAAGTCCACAAGGACATCACGTGATTTTGCTCACAGTTTAAATGCATTATCCCAGCCCTTTTTGCATTCCATGGGCAGTTAACTAGGGACAATCATTCACGGTGATATTGAAAGGGGATATGAATTTACAAATGTTCCAGCCCTCTGAAGGCACACTTTTTGCAGCCATCGTTGTCCCACTCATTCAAAAGAAAATCTAAAAAAAGTTGACTTGGTCGGTAACATCCGAAGGTAGGTTTTTTCATTCACACGTAAAACTGAAGTTATCAGCTAGAGTAGTGTCTCGTTCTATCTGAACTTTCATGTGAGTCGGTCTTGTGATTGTTTCACCTGGCTGCTGAAATTAAAGTTGAGGAGACACTGAATCTAATAAGGAAATACCGACGTTCCGTCCGAAAATATCAGTTATGCGGTGCATAAGTGCTATTTGCTCTTTGTCAACTTGCTGTTATTTACGCCCTCTTTGAAAGAAAAATATTCCAGCCTTATTTTTCCAAGTCCACCCGTGATGACAGCAAGAAAATGTCAAGCTCTACACACCTCTATGCGTTCACAACACAAATCGCGTTAAAAATAATGTCAACAACATTTCTATTCCTGGCAAAGTTAAATATCAAGGTCTAGTGCAGGTTCCATTTTGGATCATTTTAAAATTGTAAAAAAAGGTGCAGAATTTGCCTGCATGCAGTTCACTGCGAGCCACCACTTAAACCATCATAATACCTGATCGATTGTTTAATGGAAACTGTGTACCGCAAATAAAAGGGCGCCGATCCATTACGTGACGTGGTGACAAAGTCTTTGCGTATCCTCGCCCTTACTGTCCTCTGATCCATCAGAGATACCTTGTGCAAACAATAAAATTAAATTTTCGGTTTTCTGAGGGCGAATTCGCGATTCAGGATAACTTTCGAAGATTCTTCCGCACTTAGCGGTACCAAATAAACAGGCATCTGAGCCAACGATTCCCTGCCCCATGAATATAGTTGCAGGCTCTCGTGATTTTTGGAAAGCTTTACTAGGTTGCATTTACCTATCACCAAAATCGCCTCATTGGCATAGTAGGCGGTTTAAAATCTGGCATGGTTTAAAACTGATTAAATGCGACGAAAACTAAGAAGCAACGATTTGCCAAGCCGCGCATGGTGTGCTTCCTTATCGTTCATTAGGAATGGCACACTCCCATGGGATAATTTATCGCCGTTAATGCACAAATATTGCAAGACTGCACAACATAAAGGAGGATGGCGCGCCAGCGCACAGCAAAATGGACGGGTCAGGTGGAGGCGAAATGAATGAAAAGTGGGATTTAGAGTTCAAAGATGGCCAGGATTGCCTTTAGCGTGTCCCGCATTTGGCAGTGAATTCGCTTGAACTCTAAGGGGGTCGTGCTGGATCATTGGAACAAAAGCCACCTAAACACGTTCTCCTGGTTGAAATCTGATAAATTCGTTCGAGCGCCAAATGGTTTTAAAATTGCGAATCTCATGGGTACGAGCTCAAAAACTGGGAGCCCTTTGGAAACTCATGTCATAGTCTAATGCTTCTTTATCGTTTACCAAGGCGTGATTCAGTAACTATATCCTTTGTGCTGCTTGTTTACATTATTTTGGTGGCATATTCAATGGTAAAAATCTGTGTTAGACAGGGAAAATAACAGAAATCATGCAAATGACCACGCAAGGCGAATATGAAAGTATGCACTCAATATTTTGGCATTCTAAGGTGGTGCACCATTAGCTTGTTCGATTTTCTTAAATACTGACTTGCCTGGGATGGTAAATTCTGGCATCTTGCTGCATCCTGCTCGATTAGTGTTTTGTGAAATTGACGGCGTGGTTTGAAGTCTCAGTGGGTCGATCCGTTGAAAGGTTTCAGCATACCCCCAGATGGTTGGTAGCTTCTTTGACAGGCATTGTTAGTTATGCAGCAGGACAGTGTTTGTCCGTCCTCCAGTGCCGTGGGTCGGACGGCCGGGTTTAAAGTCGGGCGGCAAAAAGCCTGCAGATGAAACCGTTGGCTTTGTGTGCGAGAACTTACACTTTTGTGCGACACATTTTATTGCAATAACGCTGCTCTGAGCCAAGGTGTATGGTTATGACGCGGCATTCTGACATTTAGTGGAAGACTTCGTGCCACACAATTCAACGCGAGGCGTTAAAAACATTTCTATGGGTTGGTTCCCAGGTTCCTAAAACAGGTCTGTACATAGCCATGTATCTTCTACCAGACAAGCCTCTTTATAGTTAAACACCTAAATTTCTACGGATGACGAAGGCCAGGGCACACAGCTAGGTGAACAGCTACAATGAAAATTATCCGAGGCGTTATTGACCTGACTTAGAAGTCGAGTTCATGGTCTTTTATTTACAAGAACAGTAGTCTTGTACTACAAAACCAGTCGAGCCAAACTTGTCCTGGTCTGTGGCTGTTTGAGTTTCGCATCACCTTACTAATTTTTCATGTTTTATTCACAGTGATCCATTGGACTCCGATCCGCACATCAATTTAACCTGTGATGAAACTAATAAATGCATATTGTCTCGATTCAGTAAACAACTAAGATATTTGATCATAAAAATACCGAGCCACTCAAGTTGACAGACTTTGTGATAAAAAAACATGAATTATAGAAGGGTAAAGTAAGCATTTAAACCAGTAATTATCTCATGCTGAAAAAATAAAGACCCAGCTGTACTTAGTCGTGACCTGAGAAACTCATGGCTTCCTTTTAGTCAAACAAAGCGAAATCGTGATTAGATGCAAATATGCTTTCAGTAACAAAATCGGGATAAAAATGTCAATATACATTTAAATTACTGTTTACAGTGACATTCACCGACGCTATTCAGCAAACTTAAATGCAGTCCCAAAAAGATTAGCATTTTTTTGATTGCCGGTCTATGATCTTTGTGTCATTGGTCAGTTAGACCCTGGATAAAAAACGTGTCCAGATAACCCAGGTTCGCGATGAAATGGACGCCAGAATAATACCAAGCCTCTAACCCAAGTTAGGATTTCAAAAAATGCAAAAGAATATAAAATAAAAAGGGAAGTAAAGGCAAATGCCTTAGCAGAGATTGGGCAAAAATGCTATTTTTAAAACAAACATTCAATTTACCTCTGTGCAGCCGCATCGGGCGGCCTCATGTGATTGGCCAAGGCCGCAAGCAACCTGTGTGTGATTGGTTACTTGACTGCCAAGATAGTGTCGGCTGGTAGCATACCGTTTCACTTCGCATGCATGAGTTGATATTTGCACATATACCTCACTGCTTTCCTCTACCAGAATGGAGTACACTTAACATCTACAAATCTAATAATCCATAATGCAAAATCTATTAT